CAACGTTGCCACTTCTCGGGCAGGGGGAAGGGGGATGGGCGTCTTGCACGCACTGCACTGCCTCGTAGCGCTATGCTTTTCGAAAGATGGTCAAATAGAGCCAAGCTTCTTCGAAGAGATGCAGCCCCGCCGAATCCTACTCATTCTTGGGCTGCTTGCTTCATGCACTCGAAAGTGGATCTGGAACGGCAGGTTCGTCAAGGCCTGCGAACAAAAGGGACGCTTCAACCAAAGTTCTTAGGCTCAAAGGCCGCACAGAGCATCTTCAAACCCGTATGTCAAGGCTGGTCCTTGCTCCCACCCCCATCTCTCTCCGCAAAAATGAAGATCGTCTCTTACGCTCTCTGCGCATGCGTAATCATGGCATTGAGCGACGCGTGCTTCGCTTCGCCCCTCTTACGGTGCGTCATGCAGACTTTTTCAAACAATTGCGACTGCAGATCGCCTCGAGAGAGAGGAAAAAGACACGAATTGACGCATTTATTCTGATCTGTGAAACTTTGCCCGGCTCGCACGGTTTCAAAAAGCAACAAGTACGGCAACGAAATCTTTGTGAGTTTTGTTTTTGGTGCGTGCTCCCGTAAAATTTTTCCTTGCTTGCTGATTCAAGATTAGCTACCCTGCCACGTTGCTGCAATCTCTCATGTTGATGGCATGCCCATCTATCAGACCTCTGCCGCCCCGAACCGCGTCCACTTTACAAGATCTTCGGACCGAGTGCTGCTGCACGTCTTTGATCGCAAAGAGGGAGGCGAGAGCGGGATGTTCAGAATGTACAATGGCGACTTGTCCAGAGATTTCAGTCCTCGTCCCATCTGGCCCAAGATTGTGAGTAGGGTACTGCTTGACCAAGGTTTTCTTGAGACCTCTTTGCCCGGCACTCTCTGGGGGCTGGGCTACCAATAGCACCGTGGGGATGCAGCCGAATAGCCATGGCTGATCACGAACATATCGATCTCGCTCTGCAGTGGAACGACGTGACTACGCCAGGCCGATATGCGATCCATGGACCTGGACACAAAGAAGGAGAGCGCATCCATTGGGACCATGCGCAAGGACAATGGGTGACGACTCGAGAGGAGGAAGCAGCTCTCTTGAAGAAGATTGCCTCTCCCCGCACGCATTAGAGATGGGCGTTGCCGCAGCCAGGCGCTCGTTTGGCGTGACGATCGACCTCCCAAAGGATGCAGCTGACGCCGTCCGCCTTTGAAATTGTCTAATGGCGAACGGCAAGAGGTGATGATTGTAACTCGTCTTGCACAGCTATCGAGACTGCAGGTCCCAAAGTGGCCGTGCATGCATGACACACCAGTAAGCTGATTCCAGAGCAGGCCAGTGATCGGGCAACACGTTACCTCGGAACGGTGCAAGCAATCATTTCTGCTTTCAAGTCACGATGGACGATCCGTGTGAAGGCCCCGCTCGTGAGACTCGTGTCCCTTAAGACTTAGAGAGGCCCATAGTGAACGCGCTGCTGCGTGATACCAAACCGTTTTTAAGCGCGCCAAGGCCCCTTTTTTTGTGGCTCAGTGCTCAAGCGACGCGCCTGCATCGCACCCTCTAAGCAAAAGAGACGCTCTTTCGCTTTCGTAGCTGCGCTTTTGCAGAGCTTGGCAGTGCATTGTCCGTCTCCGACTGCTCTGACGATCTCGTCGAGTCTGCGGTGTGGGTCGCGCGCTGGGCCAGAGCAGCGTTGGTCCTTCTGGCCGCCTTTCTAGCTCTGGCTTTTGCTCTCTGTTCCTCGATCAGGTTGCGCTTAGTCGCTGTCTTGGACAAGATGATGGCGTTTGGTGGTGATGCAAGCGATGCATCTTTGTGATCTCCCACGCACTCCTCTGCATTGCCTTTCTTGCCAGTCGGAGGAGGTGCGATCCGCCCACCTTGACTGCCAACATCACGCCCATCGCTGCTCCTTCTCCTCCTCCTCTTCTCCTTTTTGAAAGCTGCGCTCTCCTTGTTCTTCCTCAACCTCGCTTCCTCCTTTGCCTCTGCCAGCTTTGCAATGTCCAAGCCCAACTGGGCCAAGTGAGAAGCGCCCATGCTCTCCGGAAAGCTCTTTTTGCGCTTCTTGCCCTGCTCGCGCATTGGCGATGCGCCCTTCTCTTTGCTCGAATCTTCGATACGACCTACGAGCTTCGCAAGGTTGTGCTCGTGCACCAAGTCTGTTCCACGACGAATCTCCTTGCCTGCTCCTCCGCCCGCACCTCTTGTCCCACCGTGTCGAGGTGCATTCGACCTGTTGCGCTTCTCTGCCTGGTGTGCCCGCTTCACATTCTCAGGCTTTGCGCTGCTGCTGCTGTTGGAGCTCTTCTTGCGCTTGTGGCCCGGCAAGGGACCTTTGGGCAAACCGACCATTCCACGCTGCGCTGCGCTGCGCTGCTTGCTGATCGAATGCTGGAAGATGATTCGGCAGCAATGTGTTGCCTTGACTGCGATCTTGTGCAAAGGCAGGCTGTTGGATCCTGCTTGCTTGACGCCTATCACCAGCTCGCGAGGCACAGCGTAAAGAGAAAGAGGAGCGTGCGAAGACTCTGCTGAATTGCCTTTTGATCAGCGCAATTTGTTCTCTGCGGCTGGTATGGTGCTAATCACGAATCACGAATGTTAATGATGGCTTCACAAATCGTCATGAATAATCCCAATCGAATCACGTGGATCTAAATTTTTGAATCTCCTCCCTCAGCTGGCGACTTCACGCGGGGGCATGCAGCAGGGCTTGGCGGCATATCCAAAAGATTCTTGATTCTTGATTCTTGAGATTTTGTCAAGGGGCGCGGGGGAAGGAATGGCACGTGATCTGCTTCAGGTCCCATCAACTTGACTGCTCGGTGCCCGCCCTCCAACATCGTGAGCAGATGTGTCAAATCTGAATTAAAACCAAAAAACGAATCTCAATTAGAGGATCACGAACCTTGAATTCAGAATTGAATGTGATGTCGATTTGTAAATCAGAATTGTGAATGGTCCGACTTCGCCTCAAGACACGCCGCGATGTGGAGTACAATTTATAAATCTTGAAGTCAGAGTCACGAGTGCCTGACCGCTCGCTTCAACTTCGAGCTCAGTACTTTCATTCAAATTGCAGGCCATGCATGACCCGGGCTATGGTCCTACCGCCACATTCCGACCCACTCATACCAGAGCCAGAATTGGAAATGTACCCTGATCGGGCCAGACTCATGACCAGCTAACCAGCCCCCGACCACTTCAGCAGCCTCGCTCGCAAGCAATTTGATAGCCCAAAGCTCAACGCTCTTCCGCAGCACGCTCATAGCAGCAAAGCATCCACTTGGTCAGCATGACCGGGTGTAAGGAAAAGTGTCTCGTCGGCAAACGCAAAGCCGATGACAAGCATGGGGGCAGGATTCTCACATCGCCGACATTCAATAAGCAGCCTGCACGCGCATACAAGCTGCTCGCTGCACTCTTCACCCTCCCTTTGTTGGCCCTACCCTTTCTCTACCTCGACGCCGCCCTCTCCGAGCCATATGTCAATCGGCGCTTCACTTCGCTGCTCGATGAAATGTCGGTTGCCGCATACAAAAGCTTGGATCTGGAGCGTGAATGTCCTCAAGTCCCAATCAATGCAAGCGCTCTTCGCTTTGATCTCGACGCTAAGGGTTCGCGTGCCCGTGCGCGCGCGGAAGAGGATGAGGCGCGATACGCTACTCTGCTAAGCGAATCGGTCAAGATCGACACCTCCATTGGCGACAATTGGCCCTCTCCGACGGAGGATCCCTCACTCTGGGAGGACAAGTTTGGACCATTCAAACAGTGGATGGAGCAAGCTTTCCCGCTGGCTCATCAGAATGATCGCATACACAGGGATGTTGTCAATCAACATGGTTTGGTGTACACTTGGAAAGGCAGCGATGAGAATTTGAAGCCTGTGCTGATCACTGCTCATCAGGGTAAGTCACACTCGCGCATACATGCTCTCGAGTCGCTGCGCTGACCGCATGCAACCACCCCATTGTCGAGCAGACACTGTGCCAGTCTTGGAGGCGACGCTGAACCAGTGGAGGTACCCACCGCACTCCGGTCACGTGGATGAACAAGGCGTTGTCTGGGGAAGAGGTTCGTACGACGCCAAGGCTTGGCTGGTAGGCATCATGTCTGCGCTGGAACGTCTGCTTAGCGAAGAGAGCAAGTTCGTGCCGAAGCGAGGCATCGTCATTGCTTTTGGTTTTGATGTGAGTACTACAGATTGTGTACAAGCGCAAGCCGCAAGGCTGACAAGCACGCCTCGTCCTCACTTGCGGTGCGCAGGAAGAAGCATCGGGACCTCAAGGTGCAAGGCACATTGGTGCGCATCTGGAAAAGGTGTGGGGCAAGGACAGCTTCGCGTTCCTCCTGGACGAAGGCACACCCAACCTTTCGTCATCGTCGGGCTACGGTGTACCCATCGCGCTGGTAGGTACGGAGGAGAAAGGAGCGATGCACGTAACGCTCCGTGTAGAGTCTGCCGGTGGACACTCTTCCATCTCCCCAAGACACACCAGCATAGGTTTGCTCAGCGCCATCTTGGCCGAGCTCGAGAGGTATCCGGAGCGGGTTAGACTGGGAAAAAAGGTTGGGGATGATTCGGCGCACTTGAACACGCTCATGTGTCTGGTCGACTCGCCCGTCATGGACCCTGCTCTCAAACGCGCACTCAGAAACCTTGCCTGGGCCAAGCGGTCTGTCCGCGCAAATGCCCGGCTTGCAACAAGTGACGATGGCCACACAACTCGCAAAGGATTCACCGTGTCAACATTTTTGGACTCGCTGCGTCACGATCCGCACGGTCTTCGAAGGATAGCAAGGGCAGAAGATGCAGTCAAGGCTGTTCTGCCTCGGAATTTGGCCAATCCTTTCTTTACGACGCACGCGATCGATGTGATTCAGGGAGGTGTGAAGATCAATGCTTTGCCGCCCGTCGCTAGCGCATCTGTGGACCATCGAATCGCTCCTTGCTCCTTGGTCCAGCGTCAAACACTTGCAACAAGAATGGACAGTTCTGCTCAGGCGATTCGCTGAAAAATTCAACTTGGAACTGACAGCGTGGGGCGAAAAGGTGGATGCAAAGTCGTGGTGGATGAGCCACATGTGCGAAAACCCTCCAAAGCAGTTTTCTGTACGGTGGCAAGACCAATGCGAGGGATTTGTGACGTACGATGGGACCGGTGGCAAGCTCGTCATCGAAGCTTGGGAGAGTCCGCTGGAACCGGCTCCTGTTACACCGACGCAGGGAAAAGATGCAAAAGCATGGAGATTGCTCTCGAGCGTGATTCGCCAGACTTATCCCACCGACCACACGGGTCAGGAAGTCCGCGTGGTGAGTTTGCGCATCTAGGCGTTGAGATGGCATGATCTGCACGTCGTGTTCTGCTCGACCTCCTCCCAAGGAGGGCGTGACGATCCGTCCAAAGTCTTCATCCTAACGTTTTCCTGCACCTCCCCCTTGCTCTCTTCTCAGGCGCCCGCCATGATGCAAGGCAACACCGACACGCGTCATTATTGGGCCCTCACGCGCAACATTTTCCGCTACAGCCCTTCATCCTTCGAAAAGGATCCGAGCGGATTGGGCACGGTCAAGGGCGTGCACGCCGAGAATGAGCATTACGCGACCAAAGGAAGTCGACTGAGCAAGTTTTATCAAGAGATCATTTCGAGAGCTGATGCGGAGGAGTTTTGAGCGCATCGTGGTGATCCCCTTTGTTCTCTCGCGCCTCGAAATCCTTTCCCACTTTGCGCGCCTCTCCCGTGTGTGGACTTTTCTGATTGTGCTCGCTGGGGCAGTTCAATTTTTTTTTACCTAACCAGCTTTACCACCTCGGCATGCATCCATGGCACTGCACCATTTTTTGGTCGTTCACTCCCTCACAATTTCCTAGTGTTAGCACAAGCAAGTCTCGGGACCCTTTGTCAACGACGCACGCGGTGTTGCCAGTCACGCGCATGCAGAGCACAACCGCAACGTGCTACGACCACACCCCGGCTCCGAGGCGGAATCGCATCTATGGTATCTATATTGCGTGAGGATTGAAAAGTGAAGCGTGCCAGACGTATCGTTTCCAGGGTCATACGGCAAGAAGAGGCGGATCTTTTCGTTGCTGCTGCACAATTTGGCGCGCTTCGTGCGATCAGGTGTGGCAGCCACGAGTCAACTCTAGGCTGGACTGCACGGAGTGGCCGAGGCGAGCTGAAAAGATGAAGGAGGTAAACATCCAGAGGGCAGTCGCGCATCGACGTATCTACCCATCTCGAAATCCGAGATCCCACTCTGTGACCTCAGACGATCTTGGTGCGAGATAACGTCTGAGCAACATCCCCCGCACGTTCGTCAGACGACGACGAGGAGGATTGAGATGCGATCGTAGTAGCAGCTGTCGAAGCTTGAGAATCTTGGCCGTACTCTGAAGCAGAAGCAGACGCGGACGTGCTCGCGGGCGCTGTGGCGTTGTCACCATCCTGTTTCTGAACACCGCTCGACGGCGCACTCTCCGTCTGGCGATTCAAGAACCTTGAGATGGTCTGTCCCTCTTTAGTGCCATTCGATCGCGGGGGCTCTAGAGCTCCTGATTGGTCCTCCGAAGCAGAGGCGAGGGATGCGTCTGACCGCACGACGTTGGGTGTGGGCGCGTCATTCGAGGAGAGGGCGGGTCCGGTGCATTGCTCAATTGGCGCTCTTCTGGCTCCCACTCTCCTGGTGCCATCCGGCATGACCTTTGCCGCATTCATCAGAAGAGTCCAGTACTGCATAGTCAAGGGATTGGTGAGATAGAATCAGTACACTCGCAATGCAACGGGCGTCGGTCTTGTTCGAGAGGACGTAGAATCGCTCGTGCCTGTCCTCCGTGCTAATCGTCGATCGACCACGCCCCGACACACACCTTGTCAAAGTCCCACACGTATCGATGTCTGCCGCCAAACTCCGCATCAAGCAGGTCCAGATCCACAAATTCTTCCAACTTTGCGTTGAATCTGATCTTGGCCCTAGTAGCGGGATCCAAGAAGGGCGAAATGGCGCTAAAAAATGCGTTCTGCGGCGCAAAGGGCGAGCGACATGGGTGAGTGACGATCGGTGGCCGCGGTGACCGAGACGCTCTGCTGCATTACCTCTTGCCCAGACACTCACCAGGTACCACGGCACGTTGCAGACGAACGCTCTGCCCATCCTCTCGACATAGTGAGATTGCAAAATGTTGAGCACTTTGAGAGCTGGAAGGGCGGGTCAAGAGCATGCAAGTTGGGCGCACTTCAGCAACGCAAAGCGCATACAGGTAAAATAGAGACCGAGTAGAGAGAAGCTCCGCTGCTCACCTTGCGACAGCGAGGGGTTGGAAGCTTGAGTTGCGGACTTGTAATCGATGATGATCGTCAGCGTCTCTACGCCCTCCGGTGCGATGTCTGCACAGTCCAACACGGGTGTAGGTAGGCCACGCACGCCTCAGTCAGCGACTGATTGGAAGTCCAGACTCTTCGCACGCTGCACGCTGCACACTGCAACCCACCCAAAGATCTTTCCAGCGCGTACACCAGGAATCTGATTTGTCGAGGAGAAGGTGAAGTGTTCTCTCTGACGCATGCGGAGCGCAAGGATGGCAAGTCGTGAGCATGTATGCGCCTTTATTGTCCGTCTGTCACACGCCTGGCTCACCTTCCAGGTCTGAGGTAGAGCACCGGTCTGCCGTCCTTGTCAAACCCGCTGAGCACCTGTTTGCCAGTTTTGGCCTCCTCCACCACCTCGTCCGGGCTGATCAGCTCAGGCCTGTAGCTGCGCCTCCAGTACAATGTCTCGCTGATCCTCTTCTTGGCGTTTTCCAGGTCCCACTTGGAAGCGCGGGCGTAGCGAGGCAATGTGGTGGCATCTTTTAGAAACGTTTCTTCCCACGTCCTGTACCACGCTGGAGCGGGCGAGGTCGAACTTGACGCTGCTGATGCCGATTCTTTGGCCTTGTATGCTGCAGATGTTGGAGCGGGTTCGATGGAGCCGCCTGCAGTCTCAGTGACCGTCCTGCTCTTGCTCAGCTCCGCATCATCTTCCCAACCTCTGCCGTGCAACTCCCAAACGTATGCGCCGAGAGCAGCAAGGAGATCCTGCTGAGCGGCCGAAAGAGGGGCGCTGGGAGGTCGCGATTGCAGGGACGCCAAGGTGGATGGAAGAGGGGCGAGGATGGGATCGTGAGAGATTGGCAGGGAGGCCTTGTCGACAGAGGTTGAGGGGGCGGGAGCTCGACGCAGGAATCGAGACATGATGGAGAGGGGTGCAGTGGTGGAGGGGTGGAGAGGAGGGCGACTGGGCCGTGTCAAAGTGCAAATTCTGCTGCGAGTGGATGAAGCGGGCGTAGAGGCAAGGAATGTGGTGTGACAATCAAGACGTTGGACGACAATCTTGAGGCCGATCATGCACGGCTGGACGCTCGTGGTGTGGGCGTGTATGCTGCGTGCTGCGTGCTGGGTGTGTGTGTGTGTGTGTG